CGGTCACAAGGCCAGCATCATTGACCGACCTTTGGTTGTTGGCCTCTCGGGGCCATCCTGGGGGGCTCCGTGGCCACGTCGTGTCGTCTTGAGGCGGTGTGGAAGCCCCTTGGAGGACTGGTGGAGGCCATCTGTGACAACATTGGGCCATCGCGTGCCATCTCAGCAGCTACCTCGGAGCCGCCTCGCCGTGTCTTGCGTTGCCGAGGCCGAGGCCGAGGCCACACGCGCCTGTGCTGTGGCCGAATGGCAGTTGGAGGGGATGACCCGTTCGTCCCCTCCCCAGGGTCTGGACGGAGTGGGGCCAGGGTGCCGGATGGGCCCCTGTGGCCCAAGACTGCTCTACATGAGGTACCTCTGGATAGGTGGGCCAAGATGGCCCCAAGATGGCACAGGGTAGCCGACGGTTGATCATGCTGCCTCCGGTCTGCCTGCTAATGGCCCCAAGACGGCTCGAGGTTGTCTTGGAGGCCATGGAGGATGCCCCCGAGATGCCCCAGAGATGCCCACATCGCCCAACAGGGGCCCAGAAGGGCTCCACTCGAAAGCGTCCCAAGAGCGCTCCAAGCGGCGGGCACCACGAAGCGATTTGTTGGGCTCTGGTGGAGGCACTATTATTGAGGTCCCCAACATTCTTGATCGATGTCGTCCAGAAGGCTGCCAAGGGGGCCCCCGAGACGTACAAGAGGGCTTCTGGAGCTTCCAAAGTGACCTCAAAGAAGGCCCCCCGATGGCTCCAAGAGGCAAGAGGTTCCCAGAGCGGAAAACCGTCGAAAGCCTCTATGGTTGACTTCTCTCTCGTCGTCGTCGTCGTCGTCGTCGTCGTCGTCGTCGTCGTCGTCGTCGTCGTCGTCGTCGTCGTCGTCGTCGTCGTCGTCGTCGTCTTCGTCGTCGTCGTCGTCGTCGTCGTCGTCGTCTTCTTCCCCCCATCCTCCTACTTCTCCCACCTTCTCGTCCTCCTTCTCCTCCCTCCTCCTCCTTCTCCTCCTCCTCCTCTATCCTCCTCCTCCTCCTCCCTTCCCCCCCCCCTCCTCCTCTCCCCCCTCTTCCTCCTCCTTCCCTCCTCCGTACCTCCTCATTCTCCTCCTCCTCCTACTCCTCATCATCCTCACTCCTCCTCCTCCTCCCCCATCCTGTCCTCAACCACCCCCTCTCCCCCTCTCCTCCTCTTCCTCCCCTCCTCCTCCCTCCCTCTCATCCTCCTCTCCTCCCTCCTCCTCCCCCCTCCGCCTCCCCTCTGCTCCCTTCTCCTCCTCCTCCTCCTCCTCCTCCTCCTCCTCCTCCTCCCCCTTCTTCGAAAGAGCCGCGAAGGCTCAGCCGTGAAGGCAAAGCTGGTTCACTTCTTCTGTGGGTCGTTTCTGGATAGGCAGGTCGGAGCACGCGAGGCGTCCACGACTTAGAGACGACGACGGAAACTACGACGAGGAGGACATCTTTTGGGCGCTTTGGGCGCGCTTGGACTTCCTGGGCCGCTCCTGTCGCGACGGCTGGATCCGCCTCGAAATCCAGGCCAGAGCGCACCACGGGACAGGTAATTATCGTGGTCGAGACGAGGCCTCGCGGGCCTCCCCGGGCAGACTGGACGAGGCCGAGGAACACAAGAGAGGCTCCCCTCATTCCGTGATCTGCCGACGGGTGTCGAGGATCCTCCGAGCGCGTGCTAGCGCCAACGTGTGTTCTAGAGGAAAAAGAACTATGCACACACACACACACCGATTCTGGCCAGTCCCATCCTGGGCCCAGGATCGGTGCATACGCCCTCTTACCTTGGCCAGGAAGGTATATACACCGATCCTGGGTCAAGGATGGACGTTGTCAGGATCGGTGCATGTGCATAGTTATCTTCGCCCGATGTTCGCCCATCGAGGCCCTTCACTACGACGTATAGGCGGCGCAACGAGGGCCAACACAGGCGGCGCGCCGGCGGCGGAACCGAGCGGGGCGCACCCACGCTCGGGCGCCAACACTTTTCGGTCGGCGGGGCGAGAGCGAACCTCCTCCGCCAAAAGCCAGGCGGGCTACGCACGGCTTTCATCAGGGACGCAGCGAAACACCAAAAACGACTCCGGCCCACGATTCGCAGCGTGGCAGCGCCTGCCACGGGCTCGGCCCCCTTCCGCGGGCCCGGGGACCGTGGAGAACGGCTCGGGGCAGAAACGCCCTGAGGAGGAGGAGGAGGAGGAGGAGGAGGAGGAGGAGGAGGAGGGAGGAGGAGAGAGGAGTAGGAGGAGGAGGAGGAGGAGGAGGAGGAGGAGGAGGAGGAGGAGGAGGAGGAGGCGGCCGGAGCGGGCGGGGCCCGGGGTGCAGGCGGTGCCGAAGGGCTGGCACAGCGCCCGGGCCAACACGCCCGCCCTGTGGCTCGCCGAGAGCGGCCCATACCGGCGCCCCGAAGCCCGTCCGAGTGCAGGCTGCGCAGGGGGGGCGCTGGAGGTCGGACGTGGGGGTTCGCGGCACGCCCTGCTGAGGCCGACGACCAATCCCAGAGGAGGAGGGGGAGGAGGAGGAGGAGGAGGAGGAGGAGGAGGAGGAGGAGGAGGAGGAGGAGGAGGAGGAGGGGAGGACCAGTGCGACTGGGGAACTTGCGTAAACGTGGGCATGCGCACCTGCCCCCGGGTTCAAGCTTGATGCACAATCATCGGCGGGGTTTGGGATTTGGGGCGGTCGAACGACTGGCAAATTGCTTTGTATCCCCCCCGGTATGGATTGGGGGTGCAAGGGGGCGGGTTACAGTCACCAATGGAGAGGTGTGCAGGATTGCACTCATCAGTGCTAGTGCACACTCTAAGGCGAGCCCTTCTGCGTGAAACGCCGCCTCAGCCCAAATTCCGAAATCCCCATTCCCCTCGCCCTCATGTTCCTCCTCTCGTCTGGAGTGGGGGGGCGATGGGCGAAGCAAGGTTGGGAGGCCTCAAGATCGACCCCTGGGCCTGTCCTGGAACACACTCTGACCAAGGTTTCGAGGCGCACCCACTTGAGGAGAAGAGGGCCCCCGAGAGGACCAAAAGAAGCAGAACGCGTGTGCACCGATCTCTTCCTCCCAATTTGTTTGCACGCTCTGCGCTGGTACCCGAATCCAGACAAACTCCTCATCCCCAATCCCTGCTCACCCTCCGCCTCCCCACTCTGCTAAATTTCATCCCTCCTGGGAGGACTCGCCATCACTCGGACGTCCTTTCCCCGTGCACCTTTCGATTTCGTGCGTGACTTTTTTTGGGGGGGGGGCTCGATGATCCAGGATGCTCTTCGACTGTCCTCGCCGAGAAAAAAAGGCACACGTCCGAGCGATGCCAAGAGGAGGGGTGAAGTGAGGCTTGGAGGCCCCCCGCCCAAGCCCCCGACGGGGCAACACCACGATGAGGGCGGTGGAACTGCCGCTCTCCCGCCAGCCCCGGCGCCCTGTGGGCGCGAACGCACCCCTTGAGCTCAGAGCAGCGGCAGTGGCCAGCTGGGCGGCAGAGGTCGGCGACCTCCAGACCTTCGGCGTCACGAACAGATTGCGAGGGCGAAGTGTTCCCCGGTCTGGGCCGCGACAGAAAGCCCTGTGCACGGTGTCCAGGAGCGTAAAGGACCAGTCCCGCGTCGTGAAGTCACTCTGGCAAAGAAGCCTGAAACGACGTAGCGCATACAAAGTATGGAAGGGATCCTCGCGTATCTCTCCAGATGAGCTTGCCGCTCATGGAATCTTGCTTATGATTGTAATGGCAACGGGCTCGTGAGCTTGCTGAGCTGCTCGGTGTTCTTGAACTTGCTGCCCACACACGCACACGCAAATGCGCAAACACACACACACACATACTCTCAAACATACGCGCACATACAGTCGGACCGCTGTCAGAAGGAACACAAGCTAAGGACCGAGGCCCCCTTTCTCCATGAGCTACTTAAACTTGCTTCCATAGAACACTGGAGGAAGACCTCTGGAGATGTTTAAAAACATGTAAGGACAGCTGAGCCCTCCCAAACGAAAAGGGCTCCTTCTTCGGCGGCCCGAGTGGGGAGGGCACGAAATCTGATAACGAACGTGGTTTTCGTACAGCCCGCACGGTCCCGTACAGCTTCCCTGGAGAGGGAAGGGGGTACGGGTGGGCCCCCGGGCTGCGAAGAGCACGGCCCATGATAAAACAACATCCGCACAGACCGCGTTCACGAAGGCCCCCCTCAAAGCGTCGCTTTCGACGGTCATCATCGGATTCCTCTCGCGTGTGTAAGACCACGCGGAGTGGGAGAAGGCAACAGCTGACCATTTCAACTCAACCGATTTCGCAGTGCTCATGGTCCTGCGCTGTCGATTTCAGCGACAACTGGCCCCACATACATCCCGCGTTGCCTCGCTGGATTGAGCCCTGAGTTCACTCTCTCTCTCTCTCTCTTTCACAACATACTCTTATGTATTTGTTCAGTTATGTGTCTATCTTCTATCTCTCGCTCTCTCTCTCTCTCTCTCTCTCTCTCTATATATATATATATCTGTATATCGCGCCTCCTGTGGAGCTGTGGACGCCACAGAGCAGACACATCTTGCAGGGTTGAATAAACGTGCTACAAATTTGCCTGTTGACCAAAACACTGTCTGCTCAGGCCCTGAATCAGACCGCTTGGGACGATCAAGACTCTATCGAGGTCTGGATGGGCCGTGTGCGAGTTCCAACATCCCTCTCCGGCCAATGCAGGAATCCTCCTGAAGACCCAGGCCAATTGCGGCGAAGAACCGAACCCGCGGCAACAAGCGGGCATCAAGAAGTACGCGCGCCGTTCTGGGGCCTCGGGAACCCGTCAAGGACAGGTCCAGGATCTCGGGGACAGGCCCGAGGCTCGGACCAGGCCCGAGGCCCGAGGCCCGAGGCCCTCAAGGACAGGTCCAGGACCTCAAGGGACCGCTTGCTCGGGAACCCGTCAGGGACAGGCCCGCTTGTTGCCTCCTTGACGAAGGAACACCCGTCAAGGTCCAGGACCTCCTCCCTCAGGACACCTTTCCTGACATCCGTCGGCGTGACTTTGTTCGCGTCGCGGCCCACCCAGGGGCAGTTCTCGTCCCTGGTCAGCAATTGATGGCCCCAGCGGCCGGTGAAGGGCCACATCAGAGGCCGAAGCCCAAAAAGAACGCCAGGATTGAGAAACCGCATTCTCCGAGATTTGGGTTTGCGTCCTGGCAGGCCCTTGTTCGCTGGCGATCCACCGCCGCTCGGCCCCCGCCCGCCCCGAAGCTGGCGCACGGCGGCGCTCTCAGACGGTCAGACTCCTCGGCGCGGCGGCCTCGGCGTCGTCGTCCAGCACGGGCGCATCCAGGTCGTCCAGCGACTGCGCCAGGAGGTCCCGCCGCACCTCGCCCGCGCCGGCCCCCGCGAAGCGCAGGAGCGCCTCGAGCTCCAGCGCCTCCCCGCAGCCCCGCCGGAGGAGCTCTGCCGCCAGCGCCCTCGCCGTCCGCGCCGCAGCCCGGAGGAGGAGGGCGCCCACCTCCGCGCTGCTCCGGGCGCCGAGGGGCAGGCCGGCGTCCGCGACGACCTCCTGGGCGCGCCCGAGGCCTGGCGTGGCCGCCGCCGCTCGCCGCAGCTCCAGGTCGGACAGGGCGCGCGGGCCCTGCTCCAGCCGCCGCCACAGAGCGGCCAGGCCGCCCGCGAGAGCCTGCAAGTGCTGCGCCACGGTGGACGGGCGCGCGGTGGCGCCACCGCCGCCTGCGCGCCGGCGCGAGCTGGAGCCGCGCCGCTCTTCGCGGCACAGCCGCGGCAGCTGCGGGCCGAGCAGCGCAAAGTGGGCGGCCAGGGACTCCATCATGGACAGCAGCGCGTGGGGAGGAGATCGATCGTCGGCGATGCAGCCGAGGGCCTGCTGCCAGAGCCAGGGCCAGGTGTGGCCGCCGCGGCCCAGCGCCGCCGCGAGCAGCGGCGAAGCGTCGCCCAGCGGTCGGTGCGCCAGGTGCGGCAGCAGCGGGCGCAGGTCCCTGGCGCCAAGCTGGCCCAGGTGCAACTGCGCCTCGAGCAGCCGGACGACGACCCGCCTCTGATCATCGTTGCCTCGATCCCCATCCCCACTGGCATGGCCTTGGCCCCACTGGCCAGCCCACCCCCTAGGTGGGTATATATATATATATATATACATACATACATACATATGCTGTTCCCTCTGGGTTTCGCGGGACCAAGTGGGAATGGGGATCGGTTAGACGATGCTGAGCCTCGGCAACTGGATGGGCGGCGGCAGCGGCGGCGCTTCGCTGAGCTGCTCCCGCAGGGTGCTCCAGGCGCCGATGAGGGCTTCCAGCTTGGCGGTCTCCTCGGACTTCGGACTCTGCACCGAGCCACTCGAGGAAGCGTCGGTGCCTGCATCGCTGGTCTCGTCGACCACGCCCGCGCTGTCGCACACCCTCGCACGGATGCGAGAGAAGAGAGAGGCAGAGTGCAGCTGCAGCGACGCGTAGCTCCAGGCTACATCAGCCAGGCGCCCCCAGTCCAGAGCCTCAACGGCGTGCTCTCGGCTAAGCGCGAGCGTTGTGGCATTAAACAGCGCCAGATCGCGCGCACGCAACTCGGCGAAGGCGAGCGCCACGCCAGCGGTTTGCTCCGGTGTGAGGGGCTCGCGTACCAGTCTGCGGCAGACCAAGCGGGAGAGACTCTTCATCACTGCGCCATCCAACACTCCTAGTCGGTGGTAGGCGTCCAACAATCTGCATGCGCTCTCGTTGCTCAATCTGCCGCGGTCCGAGCGCACCGTCCTCTCCACGGCCCGTGACAGCGCCTGCATGTAGTCGTCGTGATAATACTCCAGTCGCGCCAGCGCCGAAGTGAACTCGGACAGCTGCGCAGGACTGAACGAACCGATCTCCTCCCCAGCGTGGGCAGCCATGCGACGGAGGCCCTCGGTTGTGGACTTGCTCGCCTTCCAGTGCAGGCGCGCGTCAGCGAGGGTGCTGAGCAGCTCGCAAGCCTCCTCGGCACTGAGGAAATCGACGATCTTGCCCGCGCGCTTGGCTGCCGTCTGCCAGAAAAAGTTCGAGATGGGCGGTGCCCCTTTCGGCGGGCCCCTGAGCGCTCTGCGCAGAGTGCGCACCAGGTCGGAGCAACCCAAGACGGGACCAGCCACCCTGTCCTCTGCCGCTTCCTTCCATCGCTCAACGACCATCCAGCCAGGCCGTGGGTCGGGCGAGGGCAGTTTGGTCGGCGTCGGCACTGGGAGCCAGCGCTCTGGAGCCTGATTGACCCGCACCAAGCCTGCCGCGCGGCGGGCCATCCGCCGAGGTGACGTGGTCGGCCTGCCCAGCTGCCGCCCGCTGGCCTAAAACTGATCAGAACGCCTTGGCTCAACAGGCGAGGTGCTATATCGATGTCGGGGAGGGATGCAAACTAGAGCATGACACCGATCCTATGCTTGCGCTGGCCCTTGAGCCCAAGTCCGAGCTTGACATCGATCGAGGTATGCATATTGAAGATGGCACCGCACTGAAACGTCACACCCTAAAAACGATATTGACCGGCACCTGCACCTTCGCATGCCCACTCGAGGCGTTCGCCTGTCTCCTGACGTGTTGGAGCCTGTGGGCGCGAGCACTTACGTGAAGCCGCCCTGGGGGAAATTGCAGTCTGTGTCGTTGCTGGGCATCGCGTGCGTGTGAAGCTGTGCGCGAGTGTCCCCAGGCGCAAGGTGGGACGGCGGAAAACATCTTTGCCCCCTGCTGCTCTGGCGGGCGCTGGGCGCGGTGCCACGATGCCATCGCGGTGGTGCTGCGACAATGTCCCGATGGTGTTCAGAGAGTGCCCTGATGGTGCTCATGTTGCAGTAGGAGCCTGACCACAAGAAACCTTCCACAAGAAACCCGACCCTGAAATCCCAGGACGTCCATCGATTTTTGGTGTGGGAGCGTCACGCTCTCCATCCCAGAACCATCGACCCCCCCCCAAAAAAAAACAGGGCACGCTGGAGGCAAGCAGGATGTTTCTTGGCATGGGCCCCCGTTGTAATCAGGTCGGGAAAAAAGGAGGACTGTAATCTGGCAGTACGCACACTCCTACGAGCAGCAAGAATCCGCGACCGTGCCCCTGTGGCACGAAGTGGGGTGCTCCCAGGTCCCTCGCTCAACCCTTGAGCCTCGGTCTTCCATCCCTAGGTTTCCTTGGACGGGCCCGGACCCCGAGTGCTAAAATCTCCCAGGTCCTTGCTCAACCCAGGTCCTTGCTCAACGAAGTGGAGTGTTCCCAGGTCCCTTGCTCAACCCTTGAGCCTCGGCCTTCAGTCCCTAGGCTTCTCTGACGGGCCCGGACCCCGAGTGCTGAAATCTCCGGGGGCTTCCCGCGTGCCCTCTGGGGCGCGTCGAGTTTTCCCGCGAGACGCCCAAGGGGCCTTTCCAGGAGGGATCCGAGCGGCCCAAACTATTGGTGTTCGGATTTTTTTTTTTTTGTGTGTGTGTGTGTGTGTGTTGTGTGTGTGTGTGTGTGTGTGCTCATTTTCAAAAATATTGTGCTTCGCAGCGTTTCCAGCTTCCGGCGCTCCAAGACGGCCCAAGAGGCCGCCAAGACGGCCCAACGGCCCCCAGGAGGGCCCCAAGACGGTCCAAGAGGCGCCCAAGTCTGCCCAAGAGAGCCCCTAGACGGTCCTAGGAAGGGCCGAAAAGTGGGAGCCCGAACCGACAAGTTGAGCCTTCTGTCCCAAGACGCCCCCAGGAGGCCGCAAGATGCCCCAGGCCCAAGAGGCCCCCAGGAGGCACCCAGGAGGCCCCCAGGAGGCCCCCGAGACACCCCAAGAGGCCAAAGAACGGATCCCAAGAGGCCTCAAAACTGCCTCCACGAGGCCCCCGGCAGGCTTCCCACGACATCCCAACGAACATCTTAGAGGCCGATGATCCACAACCCATGCACTGTGGCGGCATGGGCCAACACATAGGCAAACAAATAGGCAAACACTTACCAGCCTGTTTAGCACCGGCTGCCGCCTGGGACTGGTGGCAGCGACAATCACACCCGCGACCGTGCCGCGGGTACTGCTTGGAGTGTAGCGATGCCCCTTGCAGTTATGAACGTTGGCCAGTGTAGCTGCTCGTTCCAGGACCCAGCCTCCAACTGACGGAATCCCTGGTTGGGCGCTGCGTAATGGGGGGGTCATAAATGGGGGGGCGGCGAGGGTGGTCCGAAAAGGTACCCAAACGGTACCTAAACGAGCCCCCTGGGGCTCTGGAGGGGCCCGAAAGGGGACCTTTTATGACCCCCCCATTTGTGACCCCCCCATTAAGCCACGCCCAACCTGGGCGCTCTGCAGCGCTGTCGGGTCTCCCCCCCCGGAGGCTTCCAGAGACATCGGGCGTGTGGTCGGCGAGGCCTCGCCCTCCAGCCTGCCCGAAGACGGGTCTCCGTGGGCCGTGCCGCTGGAGCCCCCCTGGGAGGCGCCTCGGGTTGCCCAGGAGGCCCCGAAGGGGCCCTGGGAGGCCCCGCCCCCCGACGGCTCCAAGAGGGTCCCCAGAAGCCCAAAGGGGGGAACCGAAGCGAGATTTGGATTGTGGATGCCATGACAAGGACACTCTGACAATCCTAGTATGGACTTAGAGGTGTGTCTAAGATGCGTAACACATATTCTAAACATGTTTCAAGCACGTGTTTAACATATTTAGGACATGCTTGAAACATCTTTTAGACATCTGGAAATTGTTTGGCAGCATGCTTCCTCTCCATTAATCGACTTCCACAAGATTTGGACCCCTCCACCCCAAGATTAGAAGAAACAAATGGCAGAAACATAAAATGTTGGCGCCCCACGCGGACTTCTTGGATCTGCGCTGGACCCCGCTCCCTGGCGAGGGGATCGCGCGCCCGGGGCTGCGCCTGAGGGGGGGGGTCCCAGCGCGGATCCAAAGAATCCGCGCGGAGCGCCAAACAATTATGCTTATGACGCTTTCTCTTCTTCGAAAGATGGCCCATCCTGGGAGCATGAAAGGGAAGCGGAGGAGGAAGAGAGAACCAGAAGCCGGGCGAGGACTGACAAGCCCGTGGCTGCCAAAACGGAACTCCGGGAAACTGTTTTTTTTCTTCCAGGGGGCAAGCCGTTTGCTATTTCGTGCGCCGAGCTTGCTTCCGGGGATCTGTATCTCTCTTCCGGGGAAACCGTTTTAGCGGCCACGGATCTGCCAGCCCGTGGGAAAAACACACGCTGTGGGAAAAACACACACACACACACTGTAGGAAAACACACACACAAAATGCACACACAACACACACAGTGTGTGTTTGTGTTATTTTGTGTTATTTTTTGTGTGTGTGTGTGTGTGTGTGTGTGTGCGTGCGTGTGTGTTTGTATGTTGTTGTATGTTTTTTGGTGCTGTTTTTTTTGGTTGTGTGTGTGTTTTCCCCACAATGTGTGTGTTGTGTTGTTTGTGTTTTTTTTGTGTCTTTTCCCCACAGTGTGTTTTTTTTTTTCCCCCCCGCAGGCCCAGCTTCCGAGAGAACGGGGCGAGCGCAGGGCAAAGGGGGCGAGAGAGGCGGGCTCGGCGGATTCCGCCCCGCCCGCCAGCGCTGGCTCCGCAGCAAGGGGCCTGGAGCCTCGACCGCGCCAGGAGCCCTCGCCGTCGTGGTCGTCGTCGTCGTCGAGGCTCGGGCATCGAGAACTTTCGGCGTCCTCGAGCCTCCAGAAGACACTCGAGAACGTTCGGGTCGAGAACGTTCGAGATCGAGGGCGTGGTCGATCGATTCAGGACGTGGTCGATTCAGAACGTGGTCGTGAGAGACTCGCACCGTTCGAGAACGCGGTCGCAGTCGTCGTCGAGAACGTTCGGATCGAGAACGTTCGGCGTTCGACGTTCGGGATCGCCCTCTGGGCCACGGTCAGATGCGCCCCGAAATGCGCTTCGGAAGACACTCCTGGAGGAGAAAAAGGGGAGGGCGGAGGAATATCATCTACGACTGGCCGCTTTACCCACAGACGTACCAAACACACTGCAGCACCAAACGACCGAACACGACCTAGCAACACATAGGTACATCCCTCATCTCCCCCCCCCCCCATCATTCCTGACATGCCTCCTTTCCTCCTGCCTCTCTCCTTCTCCCCTTCTGCCTCCCTCCTCCCCTGCTTCCCTCGGTTGTCGATCGTCCCCCGTGCACCGCCCCCGCCCCCTTCTTCCCACTCCCCTCTCTCATTCATCGCGTCCCTGTCCCTGCCTTCTCCCTCGCCGCTCATTCCCTTCTCTCTTCTCCCTCGCTCCGCCCTTCCTTCTTTCGTATCCTTTTCGTCGGCAAACTGCGAGGCGCAAGCACCTGGACTGCCTCCTCCTCCTCCTCCTGCTCCTCCTCCTCCTCCTCCTCTTCCTCCTCACGTGAATCTCCTCCTCACACCAGGCTCCTCATCTCCATCCTTACCCTCCCCAGCCCCCGGGCCTCCAGCTTCCGCCTTCCCCTCCTCCTATCTATCCCCCCCTCTCTCCCTTAATCTTGACTTGCAGTACCCTCGCTCCCTCCTTCCCCCCTCTTACGATTTCTTACGAGGTGATGGCATGACATGCTCGAGCCGACGAGCCCTGGAGCTCTCGACGAATTCTCCGGTGCCGTCCTCTCTTTCGGAACAATTTTTTTTTGCGGCCCCGTGGCCGAGATACGGCCTCCAGAGGGCTAGTTAATTCAGCAACGCTGCAGAAGACACCTCGGTGTCCCAAAGTTGCCATGCTGGGAAGGGCTCCTTCATCTTCGGGTGCTGCCAGGAATCGAAGGGGCCTTGGGACATACAAATAAATACACGCAAATAAACGGATTCCCCCTATTTGCCCATATTTTCTGGGTTTCTGTCATTCCCCCCCCCCCATGGCCCATAGTTTCCTACATGTTCTGGGGAATGGACGATTAATTGTGTCTGTGTGCTTGTTTCCCTCCTTCTTCCCCCCCACTTCCAATATTTTCCAACATCTTCTGGGGAATGGACGATTAATTGTGTCTATGTGCTTTTTTTCCCGTCTTCTTCCCCCCACTTCCCATATTTTCCAATTATTCCTAGGGAATGGACGATTCATTGTGTCTGTGTGCTTTTTTCCCTCTTTCTTCCCCTCCACTGCCTATATTTTCCAGTATTTTCTCGGGAATCGACGATTGATTGTGTCTGTGTGCTTTTTCCCTCCTGGGTTGCCAGGAATGTCCTGGCCCGAGGTGGTCGGGCCCCGGGATCTCCGAGGAGGCCCGCGCCGCCTCACTGGAGCACCCCTCCCGAGACCCAGGGGCCCCCAAGGCCTGCAGAATGGAGCGAAAAGTCGGGGACGCCTTGGGTGAAGGGGCCCTGGGACACACAACTAAATATACAAATGACAAGATTCCCCATATTTTCCGTTTTTTTGATTTTCGTCTTCCCCCCCCACTTCCTATATTTTCCTATATTTTCTGGGGAATCGACGATCAATTGTGTCTGTGTATTTTTTCCCTCCTGATTGGGCCAGGG